TCGTTTTCGCAACTTGGTCTTGTTGTCATGGCGACTTGGTAGAACGCACCTTATCCAAAGTCCTCTGCCATATTAGTTATCATAATTCCCAGCATTCTCAAATGAGAATGTACCAAGTCTACGGTCCGATGCTGGGAATCATGACAACTGCTATGACAGAGGACTTCGGACTAGGTGCGTCCTACTAAGTCGCCTTGACAACAAGACCAAGTTGCGAAAACGAGATCAACTCACTTGCAATTAGCCTATCATTTCACAATTCATTAGACTTATCCTCATTAAATATTGCCTTGTAATTTGCGAAAATCTTTATCATTTAAATTATGAAAAAGGGTGTGTTTTTGTTGGTTTGGGTTATAATCAGATGGTGCAACTTGGTAGTGCTTTCCTAAAACTACTCGATACCTCATCCGATTTCTTATTGGTAGAAATAGATTAAATCATTACGCCTATTAAGAAAATGCTACATTAAAAACATCTAAATTGTTTGGTTTGTCGGGACATTGTTTTCATAATTTTAGTGTTTGAAGCAAACTAAGAAAATGCGGATTTCGTGTATACATCTTGAATATACCAAAACAGTTTGTGCATAGTCATTAAATTAGGCTAGACCGAAAATCCCTAAACAAATATTTTTTAAAAACGTATAAATAAAAAATAAATCATGTAGTCTATGCTATGGCAAATACCACTTTATTTCATCGACAATCCCAGCACACAATGTGATGTGTGAAAATGCAGATGTGAAATATCTTTTTTGGATAAGCGAAATTCATATAATTGTGGGAAAATTCAATTGAAAAAAGGTGTTTAAGTTAAATAGTCTAAGGTTTCTGATAACAAAGCAGTGTCAAGCTTAATGTAGTTTCATGTGAAAGTGTGTCCAGAAGAGTTGTTTATGGGAGCCTCAGTCCTCGTCTTCATCACACATTTTCACAGTCATTTCGAGTTGCGGGTTTTAGACAACGACATGAAGTTGTGCCTTATAAGCTCATTTCTGTAATGCTGCAAATGTACGATTTAATAAAAATTCTTTCAGAAGTTGCATCTTTCATCTGTGGCTCTTCATGTTTTCCAATTCAACTTTGGCAACAAAGTGGAATAGCTCGTGTTGACTCAAGATTTTAGATAATCTCCGGTGTGAGGGTACATTTGCTGCACTCGTAAATCCCACCGACAGGGCTTTACCACAACGCATAATCGAGTTGCTCTATTTAAGAAGACATGAAAGTGGGTAGACAATTTATTCTGCAAAATGTGTCACAGACATGATGACTTAGCGTGTGAATGGTCGCGGTATCCTTTCGTTGTTTATCAGTTCTTTGACCTTTAGGTCTTCTTGCCAATATGACCAAATTGCAAACACAAGGTCAAACAACTTTCGACATAATTTGATCTTGAAGAGTAAGAGAACTGGAGGGCGTGAGTGATAATGTATTTCTAAGACCTCCTGAGTGAGTGCAGTTGGGTAAATAACTGTTGAAGTAGGATATTCATATAAAGTAGGTAAATCAAGAATACAAGTCCTATTTAGCTCTCGTCTTGAATAAGATGATACGAGACTGATAGTTCAATTTTCCCCAAAACATATGAGTGTGAAAAGTCAAACATCAGTCCTTCTATGAATTAGGCGATAAAGACTGACTATATTTAGATTTACCGATGGCCATGAAGCCTGCTTTATATGAAGTTAAGTAGCCAAGTTGATTGTATGGGGAAAAATACAATATGGGATGTATTCACCCTATTTCGTCTGAGGTGATGGAGGACTGGTAGTAGAATTTTCCCACAATCATATGAGAAAGCAAGGCTATGTGAAATTGAATGGAAACGTCATATGATTGTGGGAAAATTCTTCTTCGAATTGCCATTTCTCGTCGATCCAGCCCACATCTCTTGTCTCCGCGAATGGAACTGGAGCAGTTTCGACTCCTCGAATACATTCGTCCAAAGAAGCAAAGGTTGCGACCCACCGTCAGAACGGAAAGTTCGTCACGCATCTTCATATCGCATCATCACCGGCCTCAAAGTCGAGTCCGGCCGAGGCGATGCGGGGTCTCCACATGCATGCAGGTGTGTGTATGTGTGCTGGTGTGTGTGTGTGTGTGTGGTCGGGCGCCGGACATGCGAGATGAGGGTGGGGCGGGGAGCAGCTTAAAAAGGGGAACAATGCGGTGTATCGAAATGTGAGGAGGACTTGTGTCGACGGGTGGTAGACTCAAATTGTGTGGACGATGGGGTTCCCCTCCGCCCCGGGCTGTGCAAGAGGGGATGAACGAGTCGCAGTGGGTCGTGGGTCGTGGGTCGGCAATTCGGCGTCTCTTTGGTGGCCTATGGAGGGTAGGATTCACACAAGCCGGCCTACCTGGGCCGGACGGGCTGGTCGAGTAGTGCACGCCGGCCGGTGGAGATTGGTCCAGTTGGTTGGATTGAGGGGTCGCAAGCAGAAGAGACATCGGCTCAACGAATCCCGTGCCGATCAGTTTGTGCATGTGTGTAGCAATTGTGGGTATTGTCTGTGTGCGCTTGTCTACCGGTATACACACACACACACACACACACAGACATATATGCATATATACGCACCAATATGTGCGTGTGTGTGGCTTTGCGTGACACAATGAAGGGGATTGAATGTGGCAAGTGGAGGGGCAAAATGGCCGAGCAGTGGCGTCCAGCAGAGCCAAGATGCAGGGTTTAAATGAACCCAACATTGGCTGCAGACGGCGATCGTGAAGGGGGGTGGGGCTGGTGGCTGATGAGGCGAAATGTGATTGTAGCCCAAGACAAGCACGCATGCCCGACGGTGCAATTAGAGGCAGAAATGATACAGCGGGACGCCTGTTGCTGTAAGTAGTATTGGAGTAAGTAGTATGATGGAATTTTGGTCGAAATTAGTTGTACCGCGAAAATAATGAGTTGGACACTTTGCCAACTGAAGTCTTCAACGTAGTCGTCGTCGTTGTCGACGTCGTTGTGAGGTCTGTAGTCTAAGAAGCCGAATTGAGGCAGTAGAGCTGAAAAAAGTCAGTTTCGTCGGCTCATAAAGGAGCGTTATTTGAGTTGAATGTGGACATTTGCGCTCTCAAAAATTGTTAGCTTGTCTCAAAAGGCTTACATGAAAACCGATCCGTCCGGCTGTCTATTCATATGACAAAGTATCCGTTCATCCATCAATTCAACCACTCAACTATCCATCTTTATGAGCTCATTTCATTTGTTCCTATATTTGTCAATCTACCAGTCCATCACTCTTTCATTTCGTCCGCTATAATGACCGTTGACAAATCTATTTACTTTTTCGTCCTATCTATATGTTTTCATTCAATCCAATTTTTATATATCAAATTATCCATCAAAACAAATTATTAATTCAATCCTCTCTTCACCTTTTCTTAAATCTGTTCAACTATCCATCCATCAATCTAATTTATCTACAGGAATTTGTTTTAATATTTTTAAATTTGCATCTTGGGCCATATTTCCCAAATGTGCTTTACTCACGGAACCGTCCATTTGTATTTGTATTTCTCTCTTAAACTCCATCCATCACTTAATCATCTAACAATCCAATCGCCTCTCTCACGGTGCATGTACCACTCCGTCTAGCTATATACATTTGCCATTTTTCATTTGCGCT